TTTAGGCCCGATCCCTGGGATCGGGCCTAAACCTGCAGTCAGACATCCCCCGAAGGGTCCTGAATTGGAGAGGGTGCAGGCTGGGCCGAGGGGACCCTCCCTCCCATGCATGAATTTTGTGCACCAGGCCTCTAGTGCTACAATATCAAGCCATCAAGACCTTGTTCCGCATCTACTAAGTGCTCAGGGCTTTGTTCAGTTATATGTGGACAGAACAAAGATATTAACTTCTTTACATCTCTTACCTTTTTGGAGCTTATCCTTTGTCTGGCTTTATGCAGTGATGGAGGCTGTGGTTGCCCACACTGGACCTGTAGAAGTGTTATACCACCTCTGATTATTTTCTACTGCCTGAAGGTCTACCATAGCATTATAATAACTTAAACTTATATTTTTGGGTATATGTCCTCACTTGTTAAAAGTGTCTTTAAATGAGAAGTACAGTGTTAGGCTAGTGGTTCCCAAACTTGTCTGCACATCAGAATAACCTGGGGAACTTCAAAGATACTGATGCCTTGCCCTGGCTGGGTGGCTCAGTTGGTTGGATGTCATCCCATATACCAAAAGGTTGGTTCAATACCCAGTGGAGGCATAGGAGGCAACTGATGGATGATTCTATCACATCGATATTTCTACCACCCTCTCTCTCTTTATCTCCCTCCTCTCTCTCTAAAATCAATAAGAACATATCCTCAGGTGAGGATTTAAAAACAAACAAACTGATGCCTTTGTCCAACCTAGTCCTCCCAGCCCCCACTCAAAGATTGTGACTTAATTTATCTGGGTTGTGACCTATTTTCTAAAAATATCCCCAGGTGGTCTAATAGCAGCAAATGAGGGAACCAGTGTTTTAGGCCTTTCAGTGATTTGCACCATAGTCTGAATTAATTGGTAAATTTATTTATTTAAAATTTGTTATAAATTATGGATGGAAATGGTCTGGACACACTGAGAATATGTGTTTTTGTGTGTTGGGTATGTTTTGTGGAAGGGGAAAAATAAATATATTTCCAATTTGAGGAAACTGCCCTAAAATATTAGATCACACAATGAAGACAATAAAAAAACTACATAAGATAGAATATTGCATAAATTATGTGCTGCATTGAGCACTACTGCCTACAGATGCCACAGGAATCAGTAATAGAAAATGGAACTAGGTACTCAGTGTCTCTCTTTTCATCTTTCATCATTTCCCAAAAGAGAAAACATAATTCTGACTACATACATAGCTAGAACAAAACAGTTATTACTTAGTATATGCAGTAAAAGCAATTGGTATGATACATAAAGTTAAATAAAATAACATTATTATCTTTTACTTATAAATCACCAAATTTTGCCAATCAAGTAGTAACAAGTAATAACTGCTGATGTCTGGTTTGGGAATCACTCAACTCAATAACCTTGGGAAGAAAATGAAGTGAGTTACACACCAGGCAAAGATGTGTCGATTGTCAAATTTTATTTTCAAGATAGAGTGGCTGGATGAAATTGCACCATTACCAGTTGGCAAGTTCCTAAGTGATTTGTCCATTTGTAAGAGTGAAGTTCAGATGATTGAAATACTATCTGATCTTCCTGCAAAACCTCTAGTGAACTTCATCAAATTGGTGTACACCATTTGAAATAAGATTCAGCAGCCTTACATATGCTTAGGAAAGCTTTTTGAAAATTAGAAATTGCCTAGCAGCACAGATTACAATAAATGCAAAGACTCCATGGCATCCCAGACACATGCAGGGGTTTGAAGAGAGATCAAAAGAGGGCAGCTGGAAGAAACAGATGAATGGTTAAAAGATGGGAAGCAGCCATCATTTCTTTGGGTATTAATTAGACAGTCATTCTTAGTGTTGTTGTGATACCGTGGTCACTGCTTCTTAAGATTCCTTTTGGAGTCGAAGGGGAATCCGTAGGTTGTTATTCCTTGTTGATGGTACTGCTCTAATGGGAAAGAAAGCTAAGAGGCTTTTAAGAATAGTGGGGAAGTCCAATTTTAGTTTATCATAACACCTGTAAATATGCTAATTTCATAGTGGCCTTGGAAATGTTAGATTTGTGTCCCTGAATGCAACCAGCGCAACCCACATCCATTCCAATATTCGGAGCCTGATTGAAGAATCAGAAAAACTGGCAAAAGATGCTCTCAGGACTGTGATGGAGGCAAGCCTGGTAAGAAGAGCCGTGTGGGCTTTGGTGGGTGCCTTCCTTTTCTAGAAAACTGTGGGAGATTGTTCCTTAAGAGGCTTGAGCAGAGACTTGGTGGCTTAAATGTATGCTTGTCAACACTGCTTTCTGGTGGGATCTGTTTATGGCTTCTGCATTATGTGGTATGTTTAATTCTTAAAGTCATAAATACTTCTTTAATTCCAACATTCGGAGCCTGATTGAAGAATCAGAAAAACTGGCAAAAGGTGCTCTCAGGACTGTGATGGAGGCGAGCCTGGTAAGAAGAGCCATGTGGGCTTCGGTGGGTGCCTTCCTTTTCTAGAAAACCGTTCCTTAAGAGGCTTGAGCAGAGACTTGGTGGCTTAAATGTATGCTTGTCAACACTGCTTTCTGATGGGATCTGTTTATGGCTTCTGCCATTATGTGGTATGTTTAATTCTTAAAGTCATAAATACTTCTTTATAAAGACTAGGGACTAAGTGATGTAAAGATGAGGAAAATCTCACCATTTCTTATTACAAAAATGGTAATGCTTCATGATACCTACTCAAGGCCTCTTTTTTAATTTTTTTAAAAAAACACAGTTGACATTCAATGTTATATTAATTTGGGGTGTACAGTATAGTGGTTAGATATTTATATAACTTATGAAATGATCCCTCCAATAAGTCTAGTACCCAACTGGCACAATACTTATTACAATATTATTAACTATGTTCCCTATGCTATATTATACATCTCTGTGACTATTTTGTAACTGCCAATTTTTGAGGCATCTTGTCTTACCTGCGATGAAGATCTTTATTTAATGGGTGTTTTTGTCTTTGTATATTTAAAAATGGCTTGTGGTCTTTCTCTTCTCCCATTATTAGGATGTATGTTAAACAGGCATTAGGACAATTAAACTCTCCCTGCCTGTTATCTAGTTGACTTCCCTGTTTGGAACCAGAGGGGAGGCTATTCTGATAGAGTTGCCTTCACATCCCCATCAGGATCCCACCCTGGCCTCCAGTCACCACGCGTGAATTGTTCTGTTTCCTAGTTCCCAGAAGCCATGGAGTCTAATGGGAAAGCAGCTCTCCAGCGCAGCTCCAAATTCCTAAAAGAAAGCAGGAGCCTGAGCAGAAAGCATCAAGGTCAGTTTTTTTCAGAAAATACCTGTGCAGTTTCATTTTTCTTAAGAGTTTCAGTAAGCAATGATTTGCATATATAGGAGCTATCTAATAACATAATGATATATCCATAATAAAATGGCAGCAGGAATCTGTTGTATAAGAGAAACATGCAAGTTTTATATAAGATAGTGTATTTTTCTCTTTAATATATTCTAATATACTAGAGGCCCGTTGCAGGAAATTCGTGCACCGGGTAGGGGGTAGTAGTCCCCTCAGCCCAGCCTGCACCCTCTCCAATCCGGGACCCCTCAGGGGATGTCTGACTGCCGGTTTGGGCCCAAACTGGCAGTGGGACATCCCTCTCACAATCCTGGACTGCAGGCTCCTGACAGTTCACCTGCCTGCCTGCCTTATCGCCCCTAACTGCCCCCCCTACCAGCCTGATCACCCCTAACTGCCTCTGCCTGCCAACCTGATCATCCCTCACTGCCCCCCCCACCGGCCTAGTCACCCCTAACTGCCCCCCCTTGCTGGCCTGATCACCCTTAACTGCCTCTGCCTGCCAGCCTGATTGCATCTAACTGACCCCCCCCAGCCGGCCTGGTTGCCCCCAAGTGTCCCTCCTGCTGACCTGTTCGCCCCACACAGCCTGCTGCTCAGTCGTTTGGTCGCCCCTTGCTAACCCCCCTGCCAGCCTGGGCACCCCACGCAGCCTGCTGCTCAGTCATTTGGTCGCCCCTCACTAACCCCCTGTCGGCCTGGTCGCCCCACGCAGTCTGTTCGGTCGTCCGTTCAGTTTTTCGGTTGTGGCAGTCGCTTAGGCTTTTATATAGATAGATAAAATATGTCGAGTCTTTTCCTATAGAGTAAATAGTGGTCTATAAACAGCTCACCCCCCTTTTAGACTACCTCCATGTCCTGTACTGTGTCTCTCCCTTAGGGTGTAGATATGTGCATATTTTTTGTTTCTCTGTGAATCATGCAGTTTAGAATTTATTGTCAACTCAAAATATAGAAAGTACGCAGTTCTCAATCATAAAGCATTAAACACCAACTCTAGCATCAATGTTGATGGGCTATGGCTTCAGTCTATACAACTAAAGGTATTTCATAGGCCATGAAATAGTGAATGTCCTGCAATTAAAGTTTAGGCAGAACCATCATGTTCATCAAGGATTTTATCAATAATTCATTTTTTAACATGTGCTCAGAATCCAATGTGATTGTGTATTCTGAACAGAAATGCTAAAAGTGAAGCTTTGATCCAACAGCTTTGATCAGACTTGGAGGAGGTTGAGTTGAGCACCTGCTGGGATGGGGGAGGGTCAGAAGGGAGTAGGAAGCAGAGGGGTCCTGGCCAGGGAAGCAGGTGGGAGATGGGGAGGGAGATAATCAGGCAGGAGCCCAGTTTGGGGTTTTACAACCCGGAGAAGAAAGGTGGCCACAATTTAGATGTAGGTAGGAAATTGATGAGTCCAATTAAGGATGAGTGATTGAAACACCTCAAGGTGAGCTCTAATTAAATTAGACATGCAATTTAAGAAGAAATATTAGTGAGAAGAGCAACAAGCAAAGTAGGAGAAATGACCAAGCAAGCTAAAAATCACAATTTCTATAATCAGGGGCTTGAAGTCTTAATGGAGAAGCTTTTATGGGGGAGGGTCTCGGTAGAAAGCTGTCAATCCGTAAAGGGTCAAAGTGATGAAGAAAACCTAGGCAGCTTTTTATTAGGCCATCTTAAAAGGAAACACTTTCCCCCTTTAAATAGGTATGACATTGGAACTGAGAGAAGTGAAAAATACGGCAAAGACATTTCAAGAAAATGCTGATAAGATTACTAGGCAGACCAATGAATCACTCTTAATACTTAGAGCAATTCCGGAAGGTAAGTGGAAAGGGGGTTCTTGATTTAATTAATGTCTTCTTATTTCAAAGCCATTACACATGAATATGAGGAGGTTCTGCCTCCAGTTTGATGAAGAGCCCTTGCTGGAAATGAGCCCAGGACTGATAGATTTTACTTGCAGAGGAATATGATTTGGAAGTGAAGATCACTATTTTTTAACAAGTTCAGAATACTTGAACTGAAATACCAGAATTATAATAAAAAACAAAAGCACTAGAGATTTTATGCTACCATATCGATTGCTGGCTTTTACAATGCAATTGTCACATGCCTTAACTGAAAAAGTGTCATTCAAAGAAGTCAGCAAGTACAGGAGCAGGAATGTTCCTGCTTTCATATAAATGTAAGAAATTTAAAAAGTCTTGCTTGGTAAATCTTTTTCATGAGGCAATGAAGCATTCTAAAATAGATCACTTTAATATTGACAGTTTACAAGTGCAGTATTCATTAAAATTTAAAATAAGGTAAGTTTACAAAGTGTAATACAAATTAATTGTGCTGTAGTACACTATTTACATTCCCTCAACCTCTTTTTTTCTTAATAAGATTTTTTTTTTAAGTCTTACAAGTTGCCCAAATATCTCTAAATTTCCATCTGCTGGTTCACCTTAAATCACCTTGGGGAGCTGGGCTTGGGCACTCTGAATTTCTTACCTTAAATCAATAGGGCATTTTCTGATGTGGATGTTTCTCTCTCTCTCTTTTTGAGGACACATGGTATTTGTTGATTAAATACTTTAAAACAACTTTTTGTTTGGAAGCAATTTCAAATTTGCAGAAAAGTTGTAAAAAGAATACCAGTATATTCCTTATCCAGCTTCTCCTAGTGTTAATGTTTGTCCCATTTGTGGTTGTGATTTACACTTTTAAAATGAATACTAGTGCCTTTTAAAAATAATTATCACCCAGATTTTTCTAGAAAAATGAAATTCCAGTTTATCTTAAGTGCCCATTTAGTCTGTATTCTGGTGTTATATCTAGCAGCCAGTTGATGTTGTGAAAAAATACCACTTCCTTTAGCCTGAGACACATTCATCCCACCTACACATTTAAATCCCCAAACCTTCTTACCCAGACATGGGATGATTTGAAGAGGTATTTAATGGATATGAGAAGGGAATAATAGAAAAGAGTCCAAATAAAGCAGCTTAGTTTCTTAATAAGTGAGAGCCTGAGCATGGCCATTAGCTGCTTTTGTTATCTCATGTGTATTGAAATCACATTTCAATAGAGAACTTTTACCAAAATTATTTCATTTATCCCTAAAAGACAGCAGTAGCACATATGACAAGCAACCTTCATATTGCCATTAAACACAAGAAACCCCGTTTTATGGTGTGCATGCTTGCATATGAATTTATTTCAGGTGTCAGAGACAAAGGAACCAAAATCAAAGAGCTGGCCATATCTGCCAATCAGAGTGCTGCGAGCACGCTGAAGAATGTGGTGGGACTGAGTCAGAAGCTGCTGAACACATCGATAGACCTGTCCAAGGTCAATGCCACCTTACAAGAAGCAAACAAACTTCTACGGGACTCCTCAATGACCAGTATGTCTCGGTCTCCCTTCCCATTAGGAAAGTCTGCATTGTGCAATTTTGAGCTTGCCAAGGGCACAATGGTGCCTTGTTCACAAACAGCATTCCTAAAAAAAAAAGAAAGAAAATGCACTAACATCTGGATTTCCATTTATAAAGAAAGAGAAGGGCTACGGTAATGCACGGAGCTGGTGCATTTTTTACATATGTACCAAAATGTCAAGGATTTGATAATTAAGATATTCTGTTTCATCCAGTGCATTAGTAATGACCAGTCCATTTCTCTGTGTCTGTCACCCCAACCCCAACTTTCTTGCTACCTTGTATTTGTTAGGTCTGTTAGCTGGGAAAAAAGTTAAAGATGTGGAAACACAAGCCAACCTTTTATTTGATCGGTTGAAGCCTTTGAAGAGATTAGAAGAGAACCTGAGCAGAAACCTGTCAGAAATTAAGCTGCTGATCAGCCAGGCCCGGAAACAAGCAGCTTCGGTGAGTGTGGGGCCCTGTTGCTACCAGTGTCATCCGGTACCCCCCTGGCTGAGACTCTCGGTAACTCCAAGTTCCAGAGAATTCCTGTAGAAATGGCTTTCTGTCTCACCGGGTCCCTGGAATGTTTGCTGACAGCTCCGAATAATACCAGATTCCTCACAACAGTGTCTTAAGTATATTTACTTAAGTATATTCAATTAGTCTCATTTTTTTAAATTTCTGCTTTCATACATGTTTCAATCTGTTGCTAGCAAAGAGATCTCCATGTCTTTATGGAGATTTGTAATTGTAGCTTAGATTTATAGATTCATAACTATTAGCTAATGGTTGCCTAAGGGTTAACATCACTCTGCATTTCATCGGTGGCGTATGGTGTTATTTCCATCATTTTACCAAGGTGGTTTTAATAATCCGAGTATTCTTCGGAATGTTTGCGCAGTACAATCCATCCTCAAGGAGCCTGACCTAACGATTTGCATATGGACAAATGCTGCACACATCCAGGTCACTAAATCTACGAGACACTTGACACCCAGAGAAGCACACACTGAGAAGATGTTGTCCAGTCACCCATCCATAGCATGTGGCATTGCTGTGCTCCTGAGGGGAGGCGTTTCAGGGAAATAAGATCTTCGAGAGACTGTCAATTGTCACACTACTGGGGACCTCTGGTCTAATGCTTATCCACCTAAGTTTTCTAGCCAAGATACAGGAGTTCCCAGCCCTTTGACACCCCTCCCCCCACAAATGACCTCACTGTGGGAAAGGGCTGTTGGTTTACATGAGCTCTGACTTCCACCTGTTTTAGTTACAGTCACCAAATAAATGTGAGCCCAGCAGATGGCTCCAAATGCTCTGGTTAATACAGACTTAGGTTAATGTATGCTATATATGCAAACAATTACTTAGAGAAATATGTGTAATATTTGCTCTATAAATATTTGCTGAAAGACTAAGTAGATAATCCCTCCATTTATTCGACAAGTGATCATCAAATATGCTCTCTGTGGCAGGACTAAAGATTCCAAGATGACTTGGATAAGCTCCTTATCTTTAAGGAATTAAATCTCATATGAAAGAGTTGATTTTCTACATAAGTTAAAACTCCATGACTGACTTTTTCATATTTAAATACTTTACCAGATAAATTTCTCTTCACCGCCACCTGACTTCTCACTTCTGAAGCATTATGTATTGTCAGGAGAGGCACCTGCCTGACAGTGACAGTCTGCCTGGGAATAGCACGTCTGAACTCCTGGCGCACGGCCCATGTGATGTGTCATTAAATGACTGGGCACTTTTTCTCCTTCTGCAGATTAAAGTTGCTGTATCTGCAGACAGAGATTGTATCCGGGCCTACCAGCCTCCGATCTCTTCAACCAACTATAACACCTTAACACTAAATGTTAAGACGAGCGAACCCGATAACCTTCTCTTCTACCTCGGTAGCAGCACCAGCGTGAGTATGGACTCAAAGAAAGCAACGAGTCTCCTATGAATGCATATGTTTTCTGAATTGATACTTTTTTGATGAAAAAACAACAGGGTCTTGGTGAAATCACTAACTCTTCTAAGGGAACTAACCTTTTGCTAAACCAGTAGCATTAGATTAAAAATAAATTACATAATTCAATATCTGTGAGAGGGAAAGTGACTTTGAGGAAGGAAAAGTGTCTCCATCTGCAATCTTAATCACAAGCCGTGACTTAGATAAACTTTATGTAATGCCTTCTGTGACCTCTGCAGCCACTGAGTTTAGCATTGGGTCTATAAGGTCAACCTTGGGGGTTGTTACCTGGAGTGCAAGCCTGCACCCTAAGGCTTCACCACGGTCATGCTTCACCCAGGCTCTTCCACCCAATGAGATTCCAGTGGTCCCAGAGGGCAAGTCCCCTATGAAGACCATTGATAACTGGCTGTATGGTGGAAATGGGTCAGGAGCCTTGTCTGTGTTAGGGCAGAAGATATTGGCAAGCCCAGATATTACCAGAAATGTCTTTTTAGGAGCTAGGGTGCAAAACACGTGGGATTTCATGGCTCTTACTGCGTATTTCACATTCATTTATTCCCTTCTCAGACTGGGCAGATACACAAGATACCATCCCTCATGCTCCTTGGAGACTCCTAGTGATCACACACACACACACACACACGAGTCTTCCTGGGGAATTTTATGGGAGGCATTGTGGAGGGCCATGCAATGCAGGGTGGTGGGGTGCTAATGGACCTGGGTGGCCACCACCCTCAGTGCTCTGAGTCCTGCTTCAGCTCCTGGGAGGCGGGGGTGGGAATTAAAAACAAAACAAGATGTTTTCTTTTTTGAATGTGTAGAAAAAATGCGGTAGGAACTCATTCTTTATTTTTCAAAATATATTTTTATTGATTTCAGAGAGGAAGGGAGAGGGAGAGAGAGAAAGATCAATGATGAGAGAGAATCAATGATTGGCTGCCTCCTGCACACCCTCTACTGGGGATCAAGCCCGAAACCCAGGCATGTGCTCTGAACTGAACCGTGACCTCCTGGTCTATGGGTTGACACGCAACCACCGAGCCACCCCAGTGGGGCAGGACTCATTCTTTAAAGTGTTTTAATGGTCATGCAAGCCGTCTGGCCTGTAAACTCATGCCAACTCATGCCCCTGCACCCAGCCTGATTTCCTGGCAGTGGAGATGCGGCGAGGGAAAGTGGCCTTCCTCTGGGATATGGGCTCCGGGGCAGCACGGTTGGAATTTCCAGACTTCCCAATTGATGACAACAAATGGCACAGTATCTACGTAACCAGGTAATGGAGACCGTTCTCTTCCAGCATCTCTCTTTCTAAAACTGTGTGTAAAGCTGCATATGATGTTTTCCACATCATATAATAGTCTGAAACTTCTAGGAAGTTATAGTGAAAGAACGCTTAGAAATAGGGTTTTTTTCTTATTACAGAAGAAATAAACATTGTTACCCAAACCAACAATAAAAGAAGAAAAAAGTTAAAACTTCTGTTACCTTTAGAATGGTAGGTGTGTCTGAGGCAGCCAGCCCAGTAAAATGTTTACTGCCCAGCACATGGTAGTAGAGGCAGCGTGGTAGGAATCCCCTGTGGCTGGCAGTGGGATGCAAGCAGAAGAGGCCAGAGGACAGGATACAAGTGGGGAATGGGTTTTCTTAACAAACACAAGCAAATTTCTTCCTTATCAAGCCTCTCTCCAAAGGTAACTCTTAAGCAGCTTTAGGTATATCTTCTTTTTTTACTTTTCGGTAATATCAATTTGTTATTGATGGTGTGTAGTTAGGAATTTTTGTCTTTTGCTTTGTTATCAATAAAAATAAGTCATTTAAAGGCAGTAAACAGTTTCAAATATAGTTTAACCCATTATCCATGACTGTTCTACATGGTGGAAGACTGCTCTCCCAGATTTTGGAGAGGAAACTAGGGGTGGGGGTTGGAAAAGACTGGAAGCAGGGAGGCCAGCTGGGGGCTGTGGCAGTGGACATGGGGAGAAGCAGATGGAGGCTGGGTATGAAACATGTATGTACATATGTGGGCTGACTGCAATTTGGTTCTTGTTGCCATTCTTTGTGACCCCTAGGTTTGGAAACATTGGTTCATTGACTGTAAAGGAAATGAGCGCAACTCAAAAGCCACCACCAAAAACAAGCAAATCCCTAGGAGCAGCTAACGTTCTGGATATAAACAACTCAACACTGATGTTTGTTGGCGGGCTCGGAGGACAAGTCAAGGTAACTCTATGAACATTCATCTGCACACAACTGATTGGCTGATGTTACCCATATATAAATTTAATACATAAATTTATACAATGTTATAAGTCAAACTTATTTCAATAAAAAATAATATAATTAAATTGTTGAATATATCAATATTCAGATGAAGAGATTTTGCTTCTCTTATTTTGCTTAATGACGGTTCATCTGCAGAGTTGGGTTGGTTTTGTAGGGTAAAGGATCATACTTAATAGTATAAATGGAAAAGAAGTCAGTGGTTCATTTTGCTATTTGCGTTTCTCTTCCAATGATGAAACAAGACATTCAGTAGTTCACATTAATTTCTGTAAAGTTCCTTTATCTCTGTTCTAACTCTAGTGGTGGACTCGTACTAGTTAGTGTTTAGTGAAAGAGCGCATTGTCCTTATTTTATTACACCAGTTATCCTCTCACCGAGCAATGTTGAGTCGTGTGGATTTAGTGCACGCTCTCACATGAGAGTATGGGCCTCTGTGCCAGCCAGGCCCTCACCACTGACCACACATTCTCTGGGTCTGTTTCTCACTATAAAAGAGGCTTCTCTGCAGCGACCCTACTAACTGAGATGATCTTTTAAGATCTATCTAGTTGTCACTCATTCTAGTATTCTACTTCATCATTAGAAGGAAATCCAGTGATTACAAACTGGCTTTTTTTTTTGATGTTTTCTCAAAATTTGGATCTGTTAGATATAAGCTTTCAGGGAGGAGTTTCATTCTTTTAGAGAATTTGTTCTTTTTCACCAAATATATGTGGGCTGTGTTTGTGTGTTCATCTACATTAGAAGTCTCCCGCTGTGAAGGTTACTCATTTCAAAGGCTGCATGGGAGAAGCCTTCTTGAATGGACAGTCCATCGGCCTATGGAACTATGTTGAAAGGGAGGGCAAGTGCCATGGCTGCTTTGGAAGGTAATATTCCCCACGATTTAAACATTGTATGTTAGTTAGTGTATTAACATCTGAGAACTGCTTAAGGAACTTACCTGTATATCAAGATGGATAGAGTTTATGGTGTCAGTCTTCTTATTGCAAAGGAAAAGATGTAGATTTACTAATGGAAGCATGGGTATCATTGTTAACCCTTACAAAGGACTCTTATTGCTGTGTCTTATACTGTATGCTTTGATCATGGACCATAAAATCAAGAAACACAGACATCTTCTCAAGCCACCTTCTGTCTCAAAGAGCCACAGTAAGCTTTGGATAAACCACTATACATTTTCATTTTGAAAATACTTCCAAGGATGAGATTTTTGTGTGTGTGCTGTCAATTTTTATAAATAATTTTATTCCTAAACTCTATCATTCTAGAAATAAATGCACTTGCAAATGGAGAACAACTATTTAAAATCTTTTGGCATGTATTGATATAATAGAGGGCATTTAATAACTTAACCTCACCAATCTCAACACCCCCTCTATTACTTTCTAAAAAAAATAACTACAGCCCTGTAAGTATGGAAGACCTATTTTATAGCACTTTAACAAATAAGGCAATAGATTGCCTTTTCCCTTAAAGAAATGTAACATCAGATATAATATCTCCCACCTAATGGGCTGCTCTGTCCAGATAGATACCTAACAGTGAGTGGTGACAAGATCAGTTAGAAGCAACTCACCTTTAGACTGTCGTGGGAGAGTTTTCACTTTGTTCTTGTCAGGTCTGCTTTCTCCTAGCTTGGGATTTTGTAGTTTAAGCCTTTTAATTGCTAATACCCCTTCCTTAAGTTGCTCAAAAAGTTATGACCAAAAGCATGATTATAAGAGCCTTAGGAATAAAAAAAGTATTGGGTTTAGCATCATAATTGCTCAGGCTCCTGGCCCAGCTCTCCTACCAAATCTCTCAGTGGCCTGAGATATAAGTCACTACACCTCAAGGAGGGAGGTTTGGTTTCTTCTTCCAGAACAGGAAAACAGTAATCACACTTATCTTACCTATCTCCCAGAATTATGGTGATGAATATATAACATGAGTATATGAAAATACTTTATAAATTTGAATATTCACCAATGTTCACCTCTGATCTTCCTGCAGTGACAGCCCATTGATTTCCAGGTAAATGTCCCAGGGTTATTTTCCTAACAATAAATATGTGAGAGACTAAGGTTTTGTAATTGGCAAATACCATCAAAGTGATATTACCTTGTGAGGTAATGACACCTGCTCTTGAACTTCAGGAGCATGAGTACACACAATGAAGCTCCCTCTTCCATCACTTTTTAAAAAAAAAGATATGTTTTTATTGATTTTAGAGAGAGAGGGAGGGAGAGGGAGAGAAACGCCAATCGGCTACCTCCTGCACGCCTCCTACTGGGGATTGAGCCTGCAACCCAGGCATGTGCCCCCACCAGGAATTGACTGGGAATTGAACCTACAACCTCTTGGTGCATGGGAGGATGCTCATCCAACTGAGCCACATAAGCCAGGGCTTTTTTTTTTTTTTAATATCATCCATCACTTTTTCCTCATGCTGTTTCTCTAGCATGGAAGGAAATCTTCCCAGCAATTTAGTAATTCTCACATGACAGATGCTCTAACCCCTGGACTGTCCCCTACACTGACCCCAGATCATTAATCTTGTGGAAAGGAAAATCTTAACAGAAATTGAATATTTCTAATATGAAAAATGTCCCCCTGCTTTAGCTGTTACAATATCCCCAATTTTCATCAGTTATTTTCAGGGTTATTTTAAAACCACTGACCTCAAGCTGCAGCAATAAGTGAATTTGATGATTGCTGGCTCTTCTCTTTTTTGGAATGAGGATGTCAATTTTCTGGGTGGCCTCAAGTTTTGTTCTCCTTGAGAACTGCCCTCCCACCAGATTTCCAGCCCCCCAACCCCCCACCCACCCCCCGACCACTGTCGGGACCATGAAGGTTTAACTGACAGGAAGGATTAACAGGTGCTACCATCCTCTCTTTGTCAATCCTGGAACTGGCTTTTTTGGGTCAAGGGATGGCTGGCTACCTTGATGATTGCTGGCTCTTCTCTTTTTTGGAATGAGGATGTCAATTTTCTGGGTGGCCTCAAGTTTTGTTCTCCTTAAGAACTGCCCTCCCACCAGATTTCCAGCCCCCCACCCCCCACCCCCCGATCACTGATGGGACCATGAAGGTTCGACTGACAGGAAGGATTAATTAACACCTGGGACCTTTCAGTCCGCAGGCCGACGCTCTATCCACTGAGCCAAACCGGTTTCGGCCCAGCTGAGTTTTAAGGCCAAATGGACTTAGCTCGATTAAACAAAGGCTAAGTTCAACAGCAGGTGTCACTATTTCATAAGGCAACATCACTTTGATGATATTTGCCAATCACAAACCTTGGTTTCTCACACATTTATTGTCAGGTTAAAAATATTAAACATTTTTTATGGGTAATGAGCAGACTATTCTTGAATTATATTAACTAATATTTCCAGAAATATGTTTTAAAAGAATATTAATTTGGTAGGATTTAGTAGATATTCATTTTTTTAAGTGGCAGTGGAGGGTGTGCCCTCATCATAAATGTTTGGGAAACACTGAGTTAAAAAATTAAGCATGTTGCTTTACTGTGAGGCTATGCACTGTAACCCTGTCCTGGGAGAGGCTAGAGCGGCAGCATTTCACAGACTCATTTGACCCCAAATTCTTTTTTAAAAGGAGTGTTCTGTAGGTGCTTATGTTACACAGAACACACTTTGACAGGTGCTGATATAGGCACTTGAGTGTGCCCCTGGGCAAGGTGCTTAATCTTTGAGGCTCGGCTATTAATAGGCCAAATAGGGACCCACGGAGGAGCCCCGATCACAGCAGAATCATCAGAACTAAAATGGAGTGAATATTTGCTGTGTGCCAGGCACTATGTTCAGAACTTTGCATGTTTTAAATCATGTACAGCTCTCCCAGAGAGGTTCTATTATTACCCCTAGTTTACAGATAAAGGGGATGAGGCACAGAGAGGTTAGGTAACTTTTCTGAGTTCACACAGGTAGTAAGTTGGGGAACTGGGATTTGAACCCCAGCAGTCTGATTCTAGAGTCTGTGTCCTTAGCCACATGAAGCTATGGTCATCCAAGAAGTAGAGCAATGGAACATGCTTCCAGGAAGCCAGTGGTTTAAGAATTAAAGAATTGAGAATGAAGCCACAGTTTAAGAGTTTATGCAGAGCACATTTCCTTGAAGGTATATTTCCTAAAAGAACAAAACAGATTTTTTTTTAGGAAAAGTTAGACTGCAGGAAGCAATAAATGAAACCTCAGCTTTCACAAAGCACTGCTATTTTTTGTTTTGTTTGCATTCATTTTATTTTGTTAATGGAAATAATGTTACTGTTTGGTTATTATGTCCTGCTTGAAGATGAGTTGGCACTGAGTTGGATTATTCACACCTTCAACTGGGAAAAATTCAAATTCATATTAAAAAAAAATACACCCTCATTCAAGTTTCACTCTCAAGTCCCATGAGATTCCAAATAAGTATTTAAAACACAACAATGATGTGTTCCAGATGAAATTACTTTGTAATTTAATGGTTTGGGGTTATTTTTATATTGTATCAAGTCAGCCTTTTGAGGCAGGGGGAAGACCAGAAAACACAATGATCTGAAAATTGCTGTGGCCCTGCCCTGGCCAATGTGGCTCAACTGGTTGGAGCTTAGTCCCCTACACCAAAAGTTGGTGGGTTCGATTCCCAGTCAGGGTACATATCCAGGTTGCAGATTCACTCCCCAGTCAGGGCACATGCAGGAGGCAACTGATCATTGTGTCTCTCTCTCTCTCTTCCTCACTTCCTCACTCTCTAAGACCAATTTAAAAAAAAATAACATTTAAAAAAGAATGGTGTCGTCTATTTTATATAATTCTGTTGTAAGCTCATCCTGCAGAATTTGGAGGTTTTCTTTGTCTATTTTTTGTAGTGGTCTTTCTGGCACAATGGTACGTATTTATTTTCCATTGTAATTCCAGTTTCACTGATGTATTAGTTAAATGCCAGTTTAAAAATTCTCCTGAAAGCACTAGAATTGACAAAGAATTGTTTCATTAAAGGAAAGTAAAACAAATAGAAATCTAGTTGATAAGTAGAAATATTTATAGCACTTATCCATCCTTTGGAGAATTTTTTTTTTACAACAGAGAATACTGCCTATATTAACTTTCTTTTCCTTATAAAGCAATTGGGCATTTGTCTTGCATAATCCCATGGCAAGCATATTTTAAGATATTATAATTTACACTGTCATCAACCTATGGAAATGATAGCTCTGCCATGATTTTCTGAGGGAGAACTGGGTAACTGTGACATCTGTGCTCTTGAACTTCCTTCCTGAGGATGGATTGTATTTCACTGCTCTGCTTTGCAGCCCCGAGAATGAAGACTCGTCCTTCCATTTTGATGGAAGTGGGTATTCTGTCGTGGAGAAGACGCTGCGGGCTACTGTGACACACATTATTATGCTTTTTAGTACCTTCTCAACGAACGGGCTTCTTCTCTACCTCGCTTCAAATGGCACCGTAAGACTCTCCATGGGGCACTTGGCCCCACTGTGTATATACAGTTAGATTGCCATGAGGATATTTATGTTTAATGACTATTTTATGAGCATTTACTAATATATTTACTGATATATGTCATATTATGTCCCTATTTTAAATAATTTATTATATCAATACAGAAGAAGCGTTGGAAGAGCACCAAGTAGAAAATAACTTTCCCATCATTGTAGATGTCAACTGAACATTTGTTAAATTTTGATCTTAAATAATATGTCTTGTTCTATGTTCACGCTGACCACTGTGGCCTTATTTGAAATCCATTCACTGGATTTTCATATTCCCATTTTTTATCTTATGTACTGGTGATTTCTCCCAATCATCTAGTTTTATTTTTAAGAACTAGACCTTGTTCAGTCTCAGTGAAACAGATACAGAGAGATCCTACTTCTCTTACTGAATTGTAGGTTTTGATAATGAGTTTATCTCATATACGTGTAGTATTTCAGAAAGCCTCTGTGGACACTGAGTTTCATGGCATAGGCCTCTGGCTGTTGGGCCAGGTCCAGCTTTCTCAGTTTGTCTTCAGAAGGTTTCTGCCATCCCTGACTTGAAGGACAAGGAAATCTTGTGATAATGATGCAGCCGTGGGTAACTACTTTTCTTTTTTACAGAAAGACTTTTTATCCATCGAGCTGGTCCATGGCAGAGTGAAAGTTACAGTTGACCTGGGCTCAGGGCCTCTTGCCCTCATAACAGACCGACGCTATAACAATGGGAGCTGGTACAAAATCGCCTTCCAGCGGAACCGAAAGCAAGGTATGTGCACAGCTGGGTGGATGGGATGTTGGTTGGCCTCATAGGAAAAGAAATATTTCCAAAATCTGGTCTTTACTTACTTTAGCTTTCTGGGTATTCTTAAATGATATTCTAATAAAAATATTAGATACTAAGCATCAGGATTCATATTTTTCTAGAGGAATATTAAATTCATAGATTGCTTTCCAAATGTATTATTTAACATTAAAGGCTCAATTGGGAATCAAGAATCAAATCAATTCTATTTTCTTTCTGGATTTATTGACCCGCACAGAGGATTTTCAGTTAATAGTCAAGAACATTTGCTGGTCAAAATGGCAGAATGTAAAAGAACACGCCTTTGTAAATGACCTTTGTTAGCAGAAGTTTGTGTTTTACTTTAGTGTAGGAAGCGACTTTCATTTCTTATTGATTCCTTTCAATCCCCTTTAGGACTCCTAGCAGTTGTTGATGCGTATAACACCAGTTATAAGGAAACCAAGCAAGGGGAAGCCCCAGGAGCATCTTCTGACCTCAATCGTCTTGATAAGGATCCAATTTATGTGGGTGGATTACCTCGGTCAAGAGTTGTAAGGTATGATACCACTGTGCAGAATTTTCATATTCTGAATTACCAACGAACTATACTGGGTTCCTAGGGCTGCCATAACAGGGTACCACAGACTGGATGACTTAAATATCAGAAATGTATTCTCTCACTCTTCAGGAGGGTACAAGTCCAAAATCAAGGTGTTGTCACCATTGCTTCCTTCTGAGGCCTGTGAGAAAGGCTCCATCCTACTTAACTTTAGCTTCTGGCAACTTCAGGCTTTCCTCAGCATGTACACAACATTCTCTCTGTGTCCACACACTGTCTCCCCTCTGGGTGGGTCTCTCTGTGTCCAAAATACCCCTTTTGATAAGGACGCCAGTCATACTGGATTAGGGCCTCTTCTCATGACTGCATACTAACTTGACTACATCTTTGAAGACCCTATTTCCAAATAAGATCATATTCACAGACACTAAGGGCTAGAACTTCAGCATCTTTGGGGGAGGACACAATTTAACCCATAACATCTACTTTGATTCAAGCCACTCTGTGTCATATTAATTGGGAAGTGAAGAAAGCTTTTTGCAGTAAAATTAATGATTTTATATTTATCTTTAGAGCATCTAGAAATTGTTACTGTGCAATATTTGGAGACCCTGCTTTCCATCACAGGTCATTCTCCTCTCTGGACATTTTAGAGTAATAGAATCTCTTTCTAGGCAAAAATAAGTAAATAAAAATAAAAAAGTAATGTTTCTGCAGACTTATCTGGATTCCCTCTTTGTGTGATCAGAATGAATAACCTATGTGAAAGCTGAAAAACCAGCATCAGTAAATTGGATGAAAGATGGCAGAGAAGAGAGGCAATGGAATCCTTTCATAACACTGATTCATGCTTTGTGACTTTAATACTTTACATAAACTTTCTGTGGCTCATTGTCCTCAGTTTTATAATTTTTTATTGGAAAATTAAGTTCTAAATTTTTTTGAAGACCCACTGTCAAGACAAGATAGCTTTCAAGGAGTGGGATCATCAAATGTCCAAACTGAGTCACCCAGCCCAGTGGTTTTCAAAGGTGTATTTGTAGCACTGCCCCACCTTGAAGCCAAGTTCTTATACACAATCCCAATATGTGGCACAGAAGTTCAGCCACTCCAGTTGCTATGGGTTGAGCAGTGCAGAATCCACTTTTCTACCAACCTCCTTTTTGCCAGAAGTTTCTGAAAGTTTCAAGGAACATAGTTTACAATGGCAGTCACACCCCCCTCTCCCAGTTTTAGAAATGAATACACCTAAATTTCTGGGAATTGGTCATGTGCCCCAGGTCTTACCCCTCCACCAAGACAGAGCCAGGGCTGGAAGTCTGTCTCCTAATCTGATTCCAGATATCACACCCTGACATGGTGTTAACGGTGTGCTCAGGGTGTAGCAACAAGCTGTGTCATAGTTCATCTGTGTTTTGCCTAAATAACACCAAGTGTAGACATTGGAGAAAAGGCCAGAGCCTCCTTTCTAGGAAATATCCCAAATCACAGACTTATGCTAGAAGGGACTTGGTACCAAGGTCAGCCCCTTATCTACAATGGAAGAGACTGAGATCCAGAAAAGTTGAGATTTGCCCTAATAATACCATTGTTGTGATTCACAGCTCATTGCTCAACATGGAGAGAACGAAAAATGAGTTATGACTCTAACAGGAAACCATGTTACTAGCTGATATTTATGATGGTAACTTGGAGCTCTTCAGCAATCTCTGTTTTAGAAATGAGAGCCTGACCACAGTACAGCCTCACCCCACTCATCACAGCAGTGTGGCAACTTCTGTTAGGAAAAATATGGTATTGACTTGGAGTTTACAATAGGGTTGTGAATAATCCCAGACTTCACTGAGTGGAATTATTTCCTGAGAACAAAGTTCATGAATATGTAGTATGGACAACAGCCAATGACTTCTCTAGCCTGTGATCCTAGGAAATCACATTGCCTGCACTTGCCCCATGGAGCAAATGTTCTATGTACGTGGAGACTGCATTATAATCTCCACACTATGATTTCCTCATGACAATGCTCTGTCTTTCTTATTATTGGCCTGTTTTAATATGTTTAAATTGTAATGACTACGTTTCCCTTGAAGTGTAAACATATTATCCAGGTAGCTATCGAAATAGTTCCCACAAATGAGTTCCCTTTCTTTAGTCCTAAGGAGAGCATTTGTTTGGGACCTGTGGTTTTTACCATCAATATCTCTCTTAGAGGGAGGCCACACACTTCTGCAGAAGGACACTTGGAAATAGATCTTCCTTATTTGTAGGTCCATTTTCATCCCTTCTTTCATAAGTGGAATGATAATGGTCTCATGTCCTTCCCTACAGGAGAGGCGTCGCCAGCAAAAGCTACGTGGGCTGTATCAAAAACCTGGAAATATCCAGATCGACCTTTGACTTACTCAGAAATTCCTATGGAGTGAGAAAAGGCTGTATCCTTGAGGTGGGAAGCAGTTTATTAATATTGGAACGAGTTTCTATAAATGCCCCCTGGGTTATTAACACAATGAAGTAATAAAATCGAAAGCAGTGGGGTGAACAGGAAAGAGGTGGGGCAAGTCCACAGTGGCCTCCACCATGGGAGGGTCAGCGTGTGATGGGTCTGACACTGCTCTTTCCTCTCCTTTGTGACCAGCCTATCCGGAGTGTTAGCTTCTTGAAAGGCGGCTACATTGAGTTGCCACCCAAGCCTCTGTCACCAGAATCGGAATTGTTGGCAACATTTGCCACCACAAGCAGCAGTGGCATCATCCTGGCTGCCCTGGGCAAGCGTGGGGAGAATCGGCAGGTCCCTGGGGTGAGTAGCTCAAATGCTATTGAGCCATGAGCTCAGGGAAATGACTTCGGGAACAACTGGATGGAAATGACTTAGTTGTAAACGGTTATTGTTTATGGGCATGAATTTTTAATAAGTAAAAGTGACTATTGCTGAATATCTTTCCCTTATGAATCCGTGATTTCTTTGTGTTGCATAATCCATGTTCCTTTTTTGGCTACTGAGAAGAAAGATACTTGCTGTCTACCTCTAATCCTTTTTAAACTTATTCAGATAGTATATACTGAATTCTCTTCTACATATTATGGTTGTTACTCTTTATCCTTTGTCTAAAACAGCAAGTCTTGCCAAACCGGTTTGGCTCAGTGGATAGAGCGTCGGCTGCGGACTGAAGGGTCCCAGGTTCGATTCCGGTCAAGGGCATGTACCTTGGTTGCGGGCACATCCCCAGTGGGGAGTGTGCAGGAGGCAGCTGGTCGATGTTTCTCTCTCATCGATGTTTCTAACTCTCTATCCCTCTCCCTTCCTCTCTGTAAAAAATCAATAAAATATATTTTAAAAAATAAATTAAAAAAAATAAAACAGCAAGTCTTGAAATTCTGTAAAGGTATTTAGAATACTGTTCCATGAAGCAGGATTTTGTTTACCTATTATTATAGGACTAGAGCAGTGATGGCGAACCTATGACACGCGTGTCAGAGGTGACACGCAAACTCACTTTTTTGGTTGATTTTTCTCTGTTAAATGGCATTTAAATATATAAAATAAATATCAAAAATATAAATATTTCCTCATAAATATGTCTCTGATCCACTGCCTCTGTCTAGTCCTAACATCAGTCTCTCTTTTTCTTGGGCCCCAAAACACTGCAGCTGTCTAAATTGATCCTTCCACAGCCACCAGAATGGTCTTAAAATGAAAGCAAGACCAGGATGCTCCCATGCTTGACATTCTCCACTTTTCCTCCTTCTGTGGAATAAAATCTAAGCTCCCTGCTATGGTATATAAGACCCTCAGTGGTCTGTCGTCTGCCTACTCCTCAGGCCGCTGTGGACCCAGGTCTGACTTCCACCCCAGGCCCCCCCCCCCCCCCCCCTACCCGGGTCTGCCTCAAGGTTGCCCAAACCGCCTAGAGAGGAGCACGTGACCAAGAGGCCCCCTTGTCTCTGTCTCCATCTCCGCTCCGGGCCTCAAGTGTGCGTGCCACCTCCTCCTGACCGGTCGTGACTGTTACAGCGTCCTGGCCTAATTTGCATATTACCTCTTTATATATATAGATTGAAAGGAGCAGAAAGAGAAATGTGGCCTGTGATAAGCAGTGAGTGGACCAGCAGAGAAGAGAGAAAAGTTGATGTTTTTCCATATTAATATTTCATTTCAGTAGCATAGGTGACATTTACCCTTTCCTCTGCTCAAACTTGCATGTACTACATCATCTGAAGAACCTTCACAAATGCTAATGTATCGTCTTAGTGAAGGCCATGCAGCTACAGCTTACAGAGTCCTCTGCTCTGGACGACACTAAACAGACACTGCTGTGCAGTTATCACAACCACTCTGCAGAGTGGATGCTGCTCCTGTATTTTGCTGAGGAAGAAGTGAGTTTAGAGAGCCTGGTTAACCTGCCTGAGCTCACACAACTATTATACATGGGTCAGAGCTAGGACTGAAACACCTCACAAGCCACTTGATGAAGGGCTAACAATGCCAGATTGGTTTCTGAGCTCCACCAACTTTTTTCTTTTTTTTCACTTCAGGTGAAATTCACGTAGCATAAAACTAACTATTTTAAAGTGAACAATTTAGTGACATTTAGAGCTCTCACAATGTTGTGAGGCCACCTCCTCTATCTAGTTCCAAAACAGTTTCATCACCCAAAATAACAGCCTATGACATTAAGCAGCTACTTCCCACTTCCCTTTCTCCCTGCCCTGGGAACCACCAATCTTCTTTCTATATCTGTGGATTAATTTATCTGGTCTGTATGTTTTATATAAAAGGACTCATACAACATGTGATCTTTAGTGTCTTCACTTAGCATGTTTTTAAGGTTTATTATAGCATGCATCAGTATTTTTCATGACTAACATACTACTGTATGTACATAGCATAATTACTTCATTGCTGAACATTTGGGGTTGTCACCTTTTGGCTATTGTGAATAATGCTGCTATGAATATTCACATACAAAAATGTTTGAGTACTTGTTTTCATTTATTTTAGGTGCATATCTAGGAATGGAACTGCTGGGCCATGTGATAATTGTATGGTTAACTTTTTTGAGGAACCATCAGTCTGTTTGCCTCCATCAGTCTTAACAAGACCACTTGCAAATCAAAGTTTGCTACTAAGTTAGCAAAAGGAAAGCTGTCACCCAATGCTAGCAGTTCTGCTGGTGGACAGACCTCTTTTCAATCTGGCACCAAAAGTTTAAAGAGCTTTAAATATTTTCAAAATCTTCAACTCTTTAATCCCACTTTTACAAATATTAGAAACAATTTCACAGGAAAAAAAGTTAAATGTTCATTATGTATGATTGTTAAAAATTGTATATAAAGTACCTAAATTTGTTGTTGTTGTGAATCCTCACCCAAGGATATTTTGGCATTGATTTTTAGAGAAAGTGGAAGGGAGGAAGGGATGGAGAAAGATAGAGAAACATCGATGTGAGAAAGATATACTGATTGGTTGCCTCCCACATAAGACCCAGATTGAACCTGAACCGTGGTATATGCCCTTGACTGGGAATCGAATCCCTGACCCTTGGTGCTTAGGCGCACATTCCAACCACTGAGAAACACTGACCAGGGCAAACTACCTAAATTTTTAACAGTAAAAGGAATAGACCCCACAATGAGATAGCAACTCACATCTGTTAGAGTGGCCATTATCTGAAAGACAAGAAATAACAAATGTTACCAAAGCTCTGGAGAAAAGGTAACCCTACTGCATTCATGATAGAAATGTAAGTTGGTGCAGTCACTAGGGAAAACACTATAGAGTTTTATCAAAAAGTTAAAAAATAGAACTACATTCTGACCCAGTTGTACATCTGGGTATATATTGGGGGGAAATGAAACCACTATCTTGAAAAGATATCTGCACCCCCATGTTCATTGCAGTATTCTTTATAATAGCCAAGACATGTATGTTAACTAAATTTAATTGTAATCATTTTACAACATATACATATGTCAAATCATTATGTTGTACGTCTTAAACTAATACAGTGTTAATATGTGAATTATATCTCAAGCAGTAACACTGGGAAAAAAGAGAAATAGATTAATGACTTAAAATATATTTGTTGGTACATAATGTGGCAATAAAAAGTATGAAGATGATGTGGAAATACAAACGTTTGATATGGTGTGTGATAATAACAATACAGAATATAAAATATGAGTAGAGATTATACAGTAATATAGAAAATTCAAAATGGTTGTTTTAGATGGTGATATTTTTAAGAAATTGCTTACTTGATGCTAATATTCCCACATTACCTTTATAAGATGACAGTTTTTAAAATCATATAGTCATGTTTTTTGTGGAATTCTCTATGAAATCTTTCCAGCCCTTCTTCTCCATCATGCTGATTGAAGGCCACATTGAGGTGCATGTTAATCCTGGGGATGGGACCAGCCTGAGAAGAGCTCTCCTGCACGCTCCCACGGGCACGTACAGCGACGGACAAGAGCACTCTGTCTCCTTGATCCGGAGCGGGAGGTATTTGTGTAACTAGGGCATGGTGACCTCACAAAGGCTCCACAGTAGGGATCTTGTTATGCCTCTTGTATGAGTGATTGGGGTGATTACTGTGACATCATTAGCGGTCAGTTTCTCATAGCAATCAGAGTTTTTATAGTTCTAGATAATTCAAAATAATTCTAGAACCTGGCTAGAATCCCTCCTTTGGAATTATTTTAGATGCTTTGTCATAGTTGCAAAATTTTCATAATTGAACCTTAACTCTGCCATTTCCTGAGTCCCAGTATAAATTATCTTTACATTGGAATAATTCTGTGACAAATAGCATTAGTAAATAGCACTATATCAATACTGAATAATACAGGGTAAAATGTAAAGAATAAGTAAAATGTGTAATATCAACAGTCCTGTATATTTCCCTTCAAAACTATAGATCAAATGTTTTAAAAGCACACTGGACATTTTATTACAGGTAAAGAAGTAAAAAAATATATATACTCTCCAAAAAGCAATTGAATTTAATAATATCTAATAACATTCCATTCATTTTTGGAGAATGTTCAATTGTAGGTTTTAGCTTTCAAGATTCACCTTTTTATTCACACACAATGTCATGTTAAATTTTATTTTCAGGGAACTTTTATTATTTAATACGTACTTGTGGAATTATATATTAAAGTGGATAGTTAATTTTCATTATATTTCTATTTTCTCCTTCAACCTTTTAGAATTATCACTGTCCAACTGGATGAGACAAAACCTGTAGAAATGAACTTGGGCCCATCAGCGGAAAGCATGACAATAAATGTGTCCAACCTGTACATAGGGGGTGTTCCAGAGGGTGAGGGGGCAGCGATGCTCCAGATGAGAAGGTCATTCCATGGCTGTATCAGAAACCTCATCTTTAACATGGAGTAAGTATAACTGCTCTCAGCATGTTTGTGACTGCCAGATTTTTTAATACTCAGTGCTGACACTAATCTGCCACCTAATTATTCTGTTTGAGATTGCCTAAAATTCTACAAGTACCTGAAGTGAACCCCGTTGTTCTATCATGAAAGTCTCCCAAGTGGATTTAAAATAATGGATAAATATGGTCATCACAAATTTAAAAAAAATCATCAAACGTTAGTTCCACAGGACTATCAATAAACAGCAGAGGTCAAATATATTGTTGGCATGTATTTAAGAGACTAGAGATTTTGTGATGGAAGTTTCTTTTTGTCTGGAGGTCACTGATTTAAAGGAGCCTTTACAACTGTGCTACTTGCAGCTTCAGATTAGTAATGGCTCCTCCCAAAACAATAACTGCCTCATTAGGAACTGGAAGTCACCACCCCCTGTGTGGAGCTCATGATGCAGAGGAGAATGAACATGTGCCCATGGGCATTTTGTTCTTTCCCACTCACCCTGTGTCTGTGGTCAGCGTGCTGGTGGGACGAAAGCCATGCTTGGCCGTGGCAGACCAGAGTGTGCACAGGGGAAACTAAATGTGCGCTGAGCATGGGAGTCTGGACTTCTCCTCTTGGCCTTGCCTTCTGACCTGGAGCGGAGGACTTAGATCCTTCATTGTCTAAGTGTCCTTTCTTTGTGAAAGAATACCTTTAGGACAATGGTCGGCAAAACTGCGGCTTTCGAGACACATACGGCTCCTTGGCCCCTTGAGTGTGGCTCTTCCACAAAATACCGTCTTTCTGTGCATGGGCCACGAAGTTTTCAAATCGCCCTGTACGTACGTGGTATTTTGTGGAAAGAGCCACACTCAAGGGGCCAAAGAGCCGCATGTGGCTCGTGAGCTGCATGTGGCTCGTGAGCCGCAGTTTGCCGACCACTCCCTTAGGAGTCTTTGAAATTTGCAATAACACATTGCTTTGGGTTTCAACACAAGTATAATGTCAGACTGTAGGTTTAGTTATTTGTACAGGATATATTTATTTACCCAATTGTTTGCTTATTAACTAATTGATTAAGCATCTTTATGCTCCTGAAAGCCATGAGGCTGGGAACGTGGTAGGGCAGAAACGTTTCCGTGCTGTACATGGCCGTGTCCTTGGCATGTGCCAATAGGGTATGTGTGGACAGCAGATATGTTGCCAGACTTCAGGGTAAAGAGACTTCTGACAAGTGTAGTTCATGACTTTCTGGCAAAGAGAAACCTGTTAAGAAATAATCAGTGTTTGACTGAAGCCACTGTGCAGTGCTATGAGAGCCAGAGGCAGAATCTGGCCCTGAGGTGGCCCAGCCAAGGCTGCAGGAGGAGGTGACCACATTCCAACCAATTCTTGAAGGATGCTCAGGAATGGTCGGGTGGACAACAATGCGGGGAGGAGGTGGGAGGCAGAAACATCAAACAAGAGAATATATAAAAATAGCTGGGCTTCTAGTCATTGTGAAAGATGGTCAGTTTGGTTATATTGAGAAGGCTAAAAAGGCTAATTCCAATGTAACCCTGATTTTTGGGGGGCTAGCAATCTGAATCTGTGCCAGCAAGCCCAGTGTACATTCTTGAAAACCTATAATTAAATCACTGCCTCTTTCACAGAAACTGGCCTTGCAAAACCTGTTACCTAAATACAGAGGCCGTAATCTCTGAACAATGCACAGCCCCAGAGGGCAGGGGTTATCAGTGCTGGCGCCAGGCCAGACCATCAGATATGGTCTCAAGACACCCAACACCTGGGGCCTTTTTGCAAAGCCTGTGAAGGGACCAGAAGCATAATCCATATTTGAGGGACAAAACCTCAGAAAGATATAAAAGAGAAGCCCCCTGCATGTTACTTTACTCAGATTTGAGAAGTTATTCCACTGGCGTAATAAACAGTGTAACTCCTTTTCTCTAAACACATTGTATGCGGGAAACGTATTTATACTAAAGCAGCGGTTCTCAAACTGTGGGTCGAGATCCCTTTGGCGGTCGAACGACCCTTTCACAGGGGTCGCCTAAGACCATCCTGCATATCAGATATTTACATTACGATTCATAACAGTAGCAACATTACAGTTATGAAGTAGCAACGAAAATAATTTTATGGTTGGGTCACAACATGAGGAACTGTATTTAAAGGGCCAGAAGGTTGAGAACCACTGCTCTAAAGCATTGCTTGGTTTTTCTCTGGTCTTCTGCAACAATATCAGTGTTTTTTTTTTAAAGAATTTTATTTGTTCAATAAGTAGGTGACATTGATTCGTGTGTTAGCTTGCAATCTTTTGATTATTTTTGAAAACACTTTGTGTCTAGACCTTTGGATTTCACTGGTGTGGTCGGCTATGAACAAGTGGACTTGGACAGCTGCTTGCTTTCAGAAAAGCCTAGGCTGGCTCTTCAGGAAGAGGACAGCGTGCTCCTGCCAGAGCCTCATCCTCTACCACGTCCAGTAAGAAGGGTTTCTTTCATTGTATCAGGCGCAGCCCAGAGGAATTTAAAATGGGGGCCTCGTTTCACAGAGTAGAGGAAGCTGAATGAGCCCACTGGAGCAGTGACGGAAAGGGAGGAGGTGGTGCCGCCAGTCTGGGGGCAGGACTGCTGAGGGAGCCAGCCTTCTGGTGGGTACAGAAGCACAGAGAAGACGGGCCCTGCCAGGGAGGCTAATGTGAGCCAGAAGGGAGGGGGAAGCGCTCAGCATCTTCCATCCACCCGCCCTCCAACCTCCCAGCATGACCCTCCATTGGTAGAGCCAGCTGGAAGCCACTTTTCAAAGGAGCCTGGACAGTTAAAGGAGTCATCCCTGCGATGAAAAGCAGTGCAGGGGCAGGGAGGGGTATGGTCCTCAGCAAACTCACAGGTGACGTGGTGCAGCCTTTACGGATTGAGTATAGCACTCAAGCACTCACATTTGGCTGCCAAACCACAGGCTTTTTACAGAGTTTCTGTAAGGATTCATGATCACTTTGGATTTAGTCAGAAATATGAAAATAAGTACTTAATGCAAGCCATTGTACATATCACTGTTGCTTTAAAAAAAGGATTTGATTCATCTAGGAAAAGCCAGTTTTGAGCAAGTATTTTTAACAACAGCCATTATTAGTTTTCAGTGTCTCTTCCCTTTTGTGATTTCTCCGTTTCCTTGGTTGAAAGCACGCGCTCTAATTACTTAGATGCTGGCGCTGTCTCGGGAAAAGCAGTTCCTTCCCAGGGCCAGTCTTTGCATCCAGGACAGTTCTCTGGTAGCATCTGCCCACCCCAAGCTGGGAATCTGAGTCCGAGGCCTCGCTGGTGTTGGGTCAGTGTGTGGAGGGCACTGTGGGGCACAGGTGCCCGGGCACCTTCTCTGGCTCCTCACATTCTGCCCTGGGGGTCTAGGAGCCCCTTCCAGCTGGACTCCTCTTGGCTTCACCTCCTGCCCATGAGGAATTAGAGACGTCAAACTCGGAGGCCCTGCTGCCACCTGTGGGCACTTGTGGTGTCCCAGGCCTATGCTGCAGCGGCTCCTGCAGGGCTGACATCTCCTTCCAGGCTGTGGAGAAGGTGGGCAGCAGCAAGGCCTCACCACTTGAGTGGGATTGAGGGGAAAGACAGACACTCCAATTGCCTTTGTGGACAGATAAAGGGCCACCAGTAAATTCTTTAAAACAAAGATTAAATCAGTGAAAACATGTATTTGTGGTTGTTGGTGTTCTGATACCATTGCTTTTGAGATGTTTACTTCATGGGAAACTGTGCACGTGTTAGTGGGGGTCCTGGAGGTGTGTGGCTGAGAGTCTCGTGTGTCTCTTACAGCAACAGTGCGCCATGGACGGAACCCCAGAGTATGTCCCCAATGCTCACCAGTTTGGACTCGCACAAAGCAGCCATTTCGTGCTGCCTTTCAATCAATAGGCTGTCAGAAAGAGGTAGGCCTTGTCCACACTGCCAGTATAAACTTGTATTGTACTTGATAACTTAGATAATACTAGTTTACTAGGATATCAAAAAGAGACCTCATAGCTTTCAAAAGAAGGCAGCAACAGGGACCAAGATAGTCACAAAGAGAGGACCAAGAACAGACCGATAACCATCCCTGTTAGATG